AAGCCCCCATCTCCCCCCTCCCCTGGGAAGGTCACAGGGAAAGAAGGGGCATCACCTGCAGGAATCCCAGAAACAGACCCCAGCTCCCAGCAGAGCTGCAGCAGCAGGAACGTGCTCTGGGATTTTCACTTGCTGCCCCCCCGTGCACTCCCCACAGGTCATGGGTGCAAAGGCTGGTGGGGCAAGGGCAGGGGGGTGACACACAGCGCCCCAGAGCCCAGACACAGCTTCCCTTCCTTGCCTGCCCCTCATCCCAGGCTGGAGCAGCTCTGCTCTGGAGCCAGGCTGGGAGAGTTGGAGTGTTCAGCCTGGAGAAGAGAAGGCTCCAGGGAGACCTTAGAGCACCTTCCAGTGCCTGAAAGGGCTCCAGGAAAGCTGGGGAGGGGCTTGGGACAAGGGCAGGGAGGGATGGGATGAGGGGGAAGGGTTTCAAGTGAAAGGGGTAAATTTAGATGAGATACGAAGAAGAAATTCTCTGCTGTGAGAGTGGTGAGACACTTCTGTCCACCAGGACCCCCACGTCCCGTTCCCCTGGGGAACTCTCCAACAGGTCAGTCCCCAACTTACACTGGTACATGGGGTTGTTCTTACCCATATTTTCAGGCTCCTTCATGATTCACTGTGGCCGAGACAAGCTGCTGCCATCCGTGTACATCTGTTCTTCTGCACATCTTCCCTCCCGCCCCTCCATCCTCAGGCTCTGGCTGTGCCCCAGGACATCACCCACAGCCTGAGCCCAGTAGATGGTGCTGTTTGGTAGGGATAGAGCCTCTGTGGAACCAGGAACGGCAGCAGGCGGGAGGAATCTGTTCGAAGGAAGGATTTGCTGCTGATGGAGCTTGTGTTGCCCTGTCTCTCCAGCCCTGTGCAGTGTGAATCCCAGGCTGAAAGGCAGAGTGCCCAGCAGTTGTCCCCGGCTGCTACGACCTGGAGTTCATAAGCAGTAGAACGAAAAGCTTCTTAGTTTTTATTTTCCATCAGAGTCAAATCACATTGGAATGTTTGCATTATGTCTCAAAGTAGTACAGAGATTGCAAACCATCTCCTTTTTACAGAAAAATCTAAATAAGCTCATGTCCAACTTGCTAACAACTCATCCTCATTTTGTGCCTTGTATCATTCCCAGTGAAACTAAGAGCCCATGTAATATGTAAAACATTGATTAGAAACTGGCAGAAAGACCAATTGACCAATTCTAGAAAAATCAATATATCCCCATGTTGCTCTATCACAGGCCTGATGGATCACAAACTTGTTCTGCACCAGCTCAGATGTAACCATGTTCTGGAAGGCATTCAAATCTGCAGGAAAGGATTTCCTAACAAGACAATATATGGAGATTTTAAACAAAGGTCTGTAATAACATTCCTGTATTTTCATTGAGCCAAATTCATTTGAGAGAAGAGTCTTCCTAAACATGTCGATGCTGTAGGTCTTAGGAAAAGACTATTTTAGTATTTAACAGCTATGGAAAGTATGAAGACACATCTTGTAGCAAGGTCTGTGTGGGCAGTGCCCACCCAGATGCCTTCCTGAATACTGGGTGTCAAAACCTATCTTCACTTTGTTCATGTTCATCTGAACGTTTGGGTATTCTTTGCTTAAATTTTCCAATTTGACCCAAGCATGTCACAGCCATAGTATGGGGGTGGCCTGTGCCACA